ACTCACTCTATTTAGAAATAATAGTAATAATAATGGCCCTATGATCCCATTCGCCATCTTCATCCTTCCACACAACTTTGAAAATACTTTCAACGTATACCACTTTACATCTCCGAAAAATATTGACAGAAAAACACACTTCTGTTGAACCTTAATATACTTGGGAATTTTGGAATCGTTTAACTGTGTCAAAGTAATATGTATGATTCTAGTTTGTTAAATTCAGTTAAAGCGGGAGTGACGCAGCCACGCTGCCTCACCTTTGCTTTCAAATTGCTAGGCATCATTATCTTATTAGGAGGAGGCTGTAGTCAATGTTTCCAAGTTACAGGATTGGTTCTGTGGTAAGTTTTCATATAAAAAAATACTTAATTGAATGACCTTTCCTTCAAAAACTTCCTAGTGTATTTCAAATATTAAAATTGATTATTTTATTGGTTTCTGAAAACCAGCAAGTCTCTTAAATGCCACTGCACAAGGGAAACAAAAACGAGGGGGGGGGGGGCACTGCCACCCCTCCACTTCTTTTTTAAATAGGTTTTCGTATTTAATAAAAGTTCATTGCAATTTTAAGAGGTTTTTAAGGGGGTGCATCAAGAAATACATAAAAATTAAGAGGTTTTTTTCTAAGAATTTTCAGAGGTTCTCATACAGTATAGTGTAATACTTGTAAATCTTAAAAGACCTTAAAAAGATAATTTCAACATTACTGTACTGGATCTTACTGTAAGAAACTTTTGAAAAATTCTCGTAAGGTCTTACTAAATGCAAAAAGATTCTTAACAAGATCACCATATAATTAGGTCTTAATACGAATCTTGTAAGAAAAGTTACAAGATAAATAATAATAATCATTCTATTACTAAGATCACCTTATAAGATCTTAAGCTTACTAAGAATCTTGCAAGAAATCTTAGACTTCTTTTAGAATTTTTTATTGTTATATCAAAATATATTATTTACAACAACCTTATAGGATCTTACAGCTACAATATAAAATTATTCTTACTAAGATCATCTTATAAGATTGAATATTGTACGAATCTTACCAAACATCTAAGATTAAAGATTTAACTAAGAAATAACAAGATTCTTAGAGAGATCACCACAGAAGATCTTACTCAGAATCCTACAGGAAATCCTATAACTTCTTACCAAGATATAACAAGATTCTTAGAAAGATCGCTCCATAAGATCTTGTTCAAGTTTAAAGTTATATTTAGTTATGTTTGGAAAATTGTGATTAGAAGTAAGTATCTGCAGTATCAAACAAGCTGACCGAGCAAAACTGTTTTTTTTTTAATCCCCTGAAGGTCTGTTTTGATTTTGTTCAAGAGGAAGACTTAGAGGCCTTTTCTTACCCAATTCTCTTCTCATGCAACTGTAATACGCTAAGTATAATATTTTTTTTTTAATTAATCGTAAGTGTTTTTTGAGGGTATTTTTACAACCATTAATCAAACTTAAACTTTGAGGGAAAAAATTAAACAGGGCAATGGGCATAACAGCTTAAGTAACAACTTGACGGTTACTGCTATAAAAAAGGCACAATGTAAATTTAATTTATTGACAGACTAAATCGTCGAGCTTCAACCATTCCATATAGGCTGTAATTCCAAGAAACAGAATTGAGCCTTTGGCAATAATGAATAATGAAATGAGAAAGTTGATATTTTCCTTACCGTGGATAAATTCAATTTTTCAAGACAAGATAACTTCTCTTGATTTCATTTTATAGTACTATTGTTAAGAATACCTTTAAATGGTAGTTTTAACTGAAATAGACAGAGTAATAGTGTAGTTTGATCGTCCGGGTGAGTCTACTCCTGAGAAGGACTGTTGTCGGTAGTGGTGACTGACGTTTCGACAACCTGAGCGGAAGTCATCATCAGAGTCAAGTGAAAGGTTGTTGTCAGTCGAATGTACTTAGTCCGGTTTGTGTACACTGATTGGTCAGTTTTTCCGTGATGTTATTCGCTGTAAGACTCAAGTGGCGTAGGTCAGTCGTGATTGGTCGGTTTGGATCCGTTAGTGAAGTTAGGTCGTTCTGTTCGGTTCGTTTGTAACGTTAATGTCGTTGATGAGTCGTTTGTATGGTGCCGGTAGTGGTTGACACCTGTTGAGGGGAGTCTGTTCCAAGTTAGTAAACCAGCTTTCCAGGGTCAGTCGTTGAAAGTAGTTGGTGCTGTAGGTTAGGCATTGCGCAGAGTCCCAGTCAATAGTGTGGTTCGTAAGCCGGTGATGTTCAGCAATGTGATTGTTGATATCGCCTTTCCTCGTCGCTCGTTTGTGTTCAGTCTGTCTAGTTGCGAGGTTTCTGCCAGTCTAACCGATGTAGGAGGCGTGGCAGTCGGAGCAATTAACTTTTAAAAATCATTGACATTTATTATTAACATTACTAATAACCGTAACAGAAAATATTTCAATTTCCACGTCCACGATATAAATTGAATAATAATGATACCGACGCTCGTAAGTTTGTTGACGTTATTGGAACGGCGTATATGACTCAACATGTCACTGGATTAACTCACTCTAAAGGACATACCCTCGTTTTAATAATTACAAGAGGCGACGTAAACTTAGTCTATGATGTCAGAGTACTACCTGGTCATTTCTCAGATCATTATGTTGTATTCTGCAAACTAGATCGTCCAACGGCCGCCTGTTTCTAAAATATGCGTCACGTACAGATTAACTAAGCTTTTGACTGCTGATGTTTTAGACGACGCTATAGCAAAAATTATCATTTGGGAAAGACATAAAATAAATGCCCAGATGCTGTCATCCTGATTAAATTAGTCAATATATACAAGACAGGCCTAGATAAGATCCAAAACGATCTCGCGCTAAGGAAATTGCGTTGGATATCTAAGCAGCCACATGCACCCTGGCACAACGACGACCTCCGTTTAGCTAAGCGCATAAAACGGAGAGCACAGCGTATTTTCTGGAAAACTGGTGTCGTAGTACATAAAGAAGTTTCCATACAGGCATATATACCGGCTGGATTTATCAGTTTCTCGAGGAAGAAAAGAAAAGAGAAAAAAAAAGCTAGGCTGCATGATACAACAAAAACAACTACAAAATAAAAAGAAAGTGCTATTTGTTCTTGAAGAGATCTATGTTTTTTGTTTTTTTTAAAGCGATTTCGACCGTTAAGTGTCATTGGACAAATAATTAACAAGTTTCACGATCAACTACACTTTTTGTACGGGCATCGGCATGATGCTCTCAGTCGCTCGTTTCGGCTTTACCAGGTAGGAAAATTACTGTTCTTTCCCTAGTAATGCAACCATCTTAACATCCTGGAAATTATTCCGACCATCAAAAGTTTTTGCTTGGATCTTTCACCGAGTCCCCCCCGATCCAACGGATAACTTGACAGTTATTGTTAGATGAGAAAATTCCGTTCGCTACTGGAGGCAATACTGATCAGGTATTTGAGGAATTCCACCCGCCCGCGCGCAACGAGATCAAAGTGACGCTACAGTTTCAAACTGAACTCGCAGATAAAATGTGTAGAATAAAGTCGGAATACTCATTGTTTGAACTAGAAACAGAAACAATCCTCTGTCAACCAAAGAGGGTTTTGCGAGCCAGTGGGTTGGTATTCTGGATGAAGATACTATTACAATTTACGTATATAAGAATACATTTACTAAGATAGTTTGGATCCCAATTCAAAGATACACGCACATTGGTGATATTAATCATTAAGTGATCGAGCATCAGGTGAAAAAACGTAACTGATAGGTGCAATAATAGTTGTAAGGGTTTCACTGTGATCATTATAAAAATATAAAAATATTTGATGTAAGCTTTATTGACCAAGCGCAGGACTTCGTTTCAGTCCATAAAAAGGCCAAAAAAACTTGGTCAATATTCAATCTGACAGAACAATCTTGGTCAGTAAATAATTTTTTATATGGTAGGAATTAAGGATGACTTGCTCATTTCAAAGAGCTGGGAAAGAATGCCAAATAAGTTTAAAGCACAATAAAGCCACCGGAGTCGATTACGTGTTCTTTTTGTATCAGTCTTCTGCCGCTTTTTTCAACTTCATCGCCGACATTGTCCAAAAGAGTCCGCTTCACGCAATTATTTTCTTGCGCAGGATTAATGCGGGAAATCCCGAGCGCGCGTGCAGATGGGCCCATCTTGCCCTCTCGGGTAGGTAGAGGAATTTGCTTCATAATGCCCACGAGTGCCGCCTGCGAAGTGATAATAGCAATTATTGCACGAGAATAACACAAATGCCTCCTTTTTGGTATGACGAGGTCACGTCTCGGCTTAAAGTCGGCATCTGTTTGTGTTGTAGGATCACTTGTTTTCTTCGCTCTCTCCTCTTAAAGATATGATTGTTTTACATCGGCTCGTTTAGTCTTTGGTTTCATATAAAACACATGTACATCAACTAAGACCAAGGCCACAAAATTAATTCCCGCGAGTAAGTTTTACTTAGAATAATGGCGAGAAGAGAATTTCCGACTTGAGGATTATCAAAACAATTAATGAATAATACCCGAGAAAAACACGGCCTCCTGTGAAAACTTTATTTTAATAGTCTTCAATTAGTTTTTCCATTTGCTTTCCTTTCATCTGCTTTTGTGTTATTTTAATGGAAAGTCGATATTGTTTTGTCGTGGGACGACAATTTCGCCTTTAAACCCCTGCCAGTTCCAAAATTATCGCAAATAAGTGAAAGAACCGTCATTAACTTTTAATAGAAATGGCCAATGCAAGTCGTTCCTTTAGCAGGCAGATCACTTTTGATGTCAATATTAATTACCTTGTCATGTTCACCCACACTTATTTGCATTCATCTTTTGAAATTAACTTCAAAACAATGACTTTTCAGATAAATAGGACCCATCCTTAACACTTTGGTCAAACAAAACAGTGACTACTACAAAGTTCGGTGTTGCTGTTAAAAGAAACCATCCTAAATATAACCTTTGGATAGCTTACTCGCGGATTGACGAGTATCAAGGGTGATAATGATTGCCAACACAACCGTGAGGCATTTCTCCGAGAACAGCACACAGACAACCGGCCATACAGACTCGAGTAATTTCAACCAAGCTTGTGAAATAACAGCCGACTCCGCTGTAGAGATTGCAGCTAAAGCTCTGGCTTATATTTCTATTTTCCTGGTTTCGTTTATCGGAAATATCTCTCTTCTTGTGGTCATTTACAAGAACAAGCAGCTACGAAGATCCATCAACTATTTCGTTTTCAACATGGCTATATCCGACCTCTTCAACCCTTTGACCATCATGACTGTGAAGATCGTTGAGATCATTTCAGGATCGAGTTCCTGGAAAGTTGATCGTCCGTGGCTTCTGGGAAACATTCTATGCAAACTTGCCTACTTTCTGCCAGATGTTTCTCTCGTGATTTCCATTGGAAGTCTTCTTTTGATCTCCATAGACAGGCTCATCGCTGTCGTCTTTCCACTGAAGACTAAACTTATCTCCTCAAAAGTACGATTGATGAGTATTCTAAGCATCTGGTTTATCGCCATCGCCGTCCATGCACCTTATTTCTACACTTTCAAACTGATCCGCGACGAAAATGAAACGTATTGTAAGTTGAATTGGGGACCGGCATTCGACCACATGAAAACGCACAGAAGATTTCTTACGGCAACTTTTATCACTTTCATCCCCATTCCCATTTGTGTCCTGGCCGGTGTGTATAGCATTATCGCATGGACAATAAGAAAAAGGAACAAAAAAACTAAAGAGAAACTGTCTTGTCGCCAAATCCATCGAGATCAGCAGCTGAGGAAAATTGTCAGATTGGCAATGGCCATTATGATTTCCTTCGTTTCCTGCATGGCTCCCCTGCTTATCTATTCGTTTCTCAAATTTTTTCTGTGGAATTATTGGGAATCGCCACCCATTTGTGCATTTCAGACAGTTATTCCATTTATTTCTGTCTTTCTGCTGCATTCGTGGAGTGCAGTTAATCCCTGCATTTGTTTTATCTTTAGCGAGAACTACCGCAACGGCCTCAGGCAATGTTTTCACTGTAATGGCCTCGGTCACAGAAAATCAAGTTTGCAAGACAACTACCAAATGCAAACGATGACGAGCTCTTGCAGAGACAGTTCTTTTCAGACCTATTCAAGTAGCATACGCACTATCTCGTACAGCAGAAAAAATTGAGCAATATCAGAAGCCCATTATATATCTATGTATATAGCATTGAGCACTATACCGCAAGGATAGAATATAATCGAGATATATTTGTACACTATGTATATATATGTATCTATGTATTTAAATCCTTACTAAGAAAATATACAGGATAATCATTGGGTATGCACATAAGGAACACTTTGGAGTGTTCAATTAAGATCTAAGTACCACACACTTAACCACATAAACCATTTGTTCATATCGCGATATATCTGTTTTCTTCGTTTGATGGTTTCCTATTGCAAGGTCATTAATTTTTGTTAATAATATAGCTCTTGCCTTTGGTATGGATGATCTAAGAATCATTTACATGTTAAAAAAAATTAAGCGTAGGCATATCATTATAGCGAATTTAAATGTAAAATTTATAATAAATAAAGTAATAAAACCCATATTCAAGCAAGCGTATAACTGAACCTTTTGGCTTCTTTTTAACTGACCTCGCATTCGCGTTTTCATAAAGAAAAATTTTTAAAAAAATTTAATAAAAAAAGTTACTTTGAAGTATTCCATAATATTTGCCAAAGAAAATTTGTTTCACTCTAGGGTTTAATTTTCCTCCCCCCATCTTATCAGCAGCTGATATTTTCGATTCGGTCTGACAATTTAGGCGACAATCTTTATCCCATTCGACGCTGTTAATTTCTTTCACGCTCCCAACTTGTCTCAAATGTCTCATTTGATTTTGTGCAGGTCCATTTACGCCTCCACATCTGTTGTTGCACAGGTGATAATACACTAATACAAGTAAGAAACGTAAACATCGCATGACTTTTGCCAAAGCCATGTTCATGTTTCTCAATGTTTTTTACATTCCTCGGCTAATAATTACTGATCAACTTTCTTTCACATGACATGCACAGCACCTGAGGCTAATGTAAAGAGAGTCTCAATGCCCAATTTTTTTCTCTCTACCTCTCTTTTGTTTACTCTTTTCTTTTTCGCTATTTATTCTAAGGCTTCTTCCTTCCCTGTTTCTTTAATGAGACTTGATATTTCCCTTTTCCGTCATCTATAATTTTTTATTCTATTCGAGAGCATGTTGTTAAGTAACAATCCCCACAGACGCCCTATCTGTTAATCTTGTGATACTTTACTTTCTAATTTAGTAATTAAACTCAGGGTTTGATGATCGTTGGGTTATTAAATATTTAGGTGTGTAATTGAGCGTAGCACGATAATGGCAGACTTATAGCAAGATATTCGGATTGCGCACAGCAGAAGTGATATAGAAAATCATTCATAGATTCTCTGGAAGGTTCTTTCCATCACAGAGTCACTTGCTTGTTAATAAAAAAAAATCATTTTCGTTTAGATTACGTAGCTGCGGATTATACCTGATTTTACACGATGAGCAAGGAGAGATATTTGATACTGACTGATCGTATGAGAAAAATAACTTGTTTTGACATTGAGCTCACAACTTTTTTAAAGCAGTTGTTTTCGAATTCAAAACATGCACTGTTGCATGCCTGATAGTTAACTTTCTCAGCCAAGAAAAAACAACAACAACAAACGATCTGTGGAAAAAAAATAAAGCTTAGAATTATTGAAATAACCACTTCCTTACATCGTCTTTGGTTTCAATTCAGTGGGAAGTCGATGTTGTTATGACGGGGGACGAGAGCAATACTTTATTTTTCAAATTACTGTTGATTACTGTTTCAGGTTTTCCCACACCTATTTGTATTAATGTCTTGTTGACTGGAATTATAATATCAAGACAAAAACTTTTCATGTAAGGGTTTAAGGCATATGTTTCAAAAAAAGTTTAGTTGTTCTCCAATTCCCCTTTTTTTGCGTCGCCACAAGCAAAAAATGATTGCAGCGACTGCAACAATGAGAGCTAGATTGTTGCAGTCGCTGCGCGCTGGTCAAAATCTTTGAAATTTTCACTTTCGATCGCAGTCCACCACAGGGGTAGTCTGGCCAAAAATCATTTTTCGTCTTGATTGAAAAGACAGTTAAAAGCAATTATGTCTTGTGAAACAGTGTGCAAAAGTTTAACACACCAACTATTCAGTAAGAATCACTCATGACTAATGCTCCATCTATTCGTCAGTGAAACGTGATTTTAGCACGTACGAGCTCGTACCATGGAGTTGTGAGAAGAAAGTTCCAGAATTATGGCAAATGAGTCACCCATCCATCATTAGCTTATAAATTAGACAATTTATATATGTCCTCTCTTTTGCGGGGAATTTTCTTTTTAACGTTGAATCACGATTGCTTACGGTGTCAGCTTTACCTTCATTTAATTGTATTATCAGTCAATTATTTGTGTTTATATTTTCCATTTAACTTTAAAACGGAACGAATTTTTAGGTATATAGTACCCATTCTAAAAACCTCGGTCAGAGAATACGGCGACTTCAACGAACTCAGTGCTGCGACTTAAAAAAGTGATCGTGTAGAGAACTTTTGTATGGCTGTAAATCGACGAAAATCAGAGAAAAAAATGACCGCGAACACAAACATGACATTAAAATATATTAAAGTTCACATTGCAACCAGATGGACAATCAGACATGGTTTGATGCTACTCTGGTTTACAGATTTAATGAATGTAACCGAAGAAGTTACAATTCATAGACCCAACGTTTCGACACTCCTGTCTATTGCCTTATTCAGGGGTGATCTGAACGCTGCAGCAAGAGGTCCTTTTATACGCTCACTAATTAGCTGCCTTTTTTCTGATGAGGTGTAAATAGGCGTCAGGAAGTAGCCGCCATCATCACGATTTAAAAGAGCGTGGGCGGGGTTAGTATGCCAGGCTTCCAAACAAAGGCGCTGGTGGTAAAGCCGATTAGTTGCGATAATTTTAAGATGCGTTCCTTTGGAAGGATCCGGATTAGGATTTGTGATCCAAGGTCACACAGATCACGTTGCATCAGAGGAACGGAGCTTTAGCTCATCAGGTCAGTTGCCATATATGGCAACAGGCGCGAAATCACGGCACAAAAACCCTCGTTCACCGTTAATTTTCCGAAATGGTGAAAGACTGAAAAATTCAACATTACACCAACGTTTTCTGATATCCGAAAACGGATGGCAAATTCATTTTTCACCCTCAGTAAAACTCAAGAAAAACACGAAGTTCATCGCATGTCACCCTGCACCAGGAAAATGCCAATGAATAGCCTGTTTTCTTGAAAGTTTCTCTATAGTTTTCCCGTGCGAGTGAACGCTGCATTTTCCAAGTGTTTTCCCACAGAATTACTAACAGTGAATGCCATGAAAACATGATTTTTGTTGATTGTTTTCCTGCTCCACGAAGACGCTAGAATATAGCTTGTTTTCCTGAACATTATTCCCTAGTTTTCCCGAGCGCGCGAACGCTGCATTTTCCAAGCATTTTCCCACAGAATTATCAATAGTGAATTACCATAAAAACATGATTTTTGTCGATTGTTTTCCTGCTCCACGAAAACAATAGTGTATACTTCGTTTTCCTGAACGGTTTTCTATAGTTTTCCGGGCGCGCGAACACTGCATTTCCCAAGCATTTTCCCACAGAAGTACTAATGGTGAATAACATGAAAACATGATGTTTGTCGATTGTTTTCCTGTTCCACAAAAACGCTAGTGTATACCTTGTTTTCTTGAACGTTTTCTATAGTTTTCCCGTGCGCGCCAACGCTACATTTTCCAAGCGTTTTCACACAGAATCACTAACAGTGAGGGCCATGAAAACGTGTTGTTCGTCTATTGTTTTCCTGGTCTATGGAAACGAAAGTGAACAGCTTGCATTGTTTACCTGAATGCTTTTCTGTAGTTTTCGTGAGCGCACGAGCACTGCAAGGAAACATGATATTCGTCGATTTTCTTCTTTCCCCATGGAAACGCTAATGAATAGTTTGTTTTCCGGAACGCCATGACAACAAATGTTCATCGATCGTGATCATTATTTCCTGCTCTCGATCCTGCTCCATGAAAACGCTAATGGATAGCTAAAGGATATCTAATGGATAGCTTGTCTAATGTTCAGAATATTCATCACGATTGGGTCATTTGAGCTGTTTGGGTCATTTGAGGCAATTGAGCTTATTGGGTCATTCATGTGGACTGGGTCATTTGGGGCAGTCGGGTCACTTACACGAATTGGGTCATTTTAGGTGATGGCCGCATGCCAGGTTGTGCTGTTTCAATCAGTTTGTGTCATTTGAATTGATTGGGTAAATTGAAACAGCTGGGTCACTAGAACCGATTGGGTCATTTGAGGCAGTTGGTTCATTGGAACTGATTGGGTTATTTGAGGCAATTCATTCATTTGAGCTGGTGGGGTCATTTCAGGCAAATCAGTCATCTGACCTGATTGGGTCATTTGAGGCAGTTAAGAGCGAATCCATGCAAAAATCGACCAAAATCGTCAATTCGTGGCAAGGCTCTAAAAATCAAAATCGCTCTTCTTTTGCATAGTGGTAGACCTAAGTAAGTATACAAACGCTATGTAGTTTTTTATTCGAAAGAACCGCTCGTTTTCAAGAAAAACGCGGAAAACCGTTTCAAGCCCCGCGGTCGATTTTACAAGCCAAAAACAGGGTTGAAATTCACTACGATTCGCTTGACTCGCGTTTCAAAACAACTGCGCTAGGAAAAAAACATATTGCTAAAATTTTAAGTATAGCTCGTCGTTGGCCCAGATATAAAATATTTTTAGAATTACAACAATCTGAGTAATTATAAAAAGCTAAAGCGTACAGCTACCTGTTGTTTACGCACGAGAATTAGTTGAAAAAAGCGACGATTTTCATTATGTGCCTTTGATCAGAATTTTTTAAGACTGAAGGTGAAAACACTACAAGCAACAAACTTTCATATTATGTAAAAATTTTTTTGGGGAAATCATTTTGAGCTTCTCTGAAATTATTTGAAAATCATGTCACAGACAACATAAAGTAACGCAATCTTTAAGATATGCGTAACAATCATCAGTGGACCAGGCGAAGGTTATGAAACGTCTGTCCTAAAAAGTCTTGGTAACCTTGACAA